AAGATAGTATTGTGATAGTATATGACTGATTTGTAGATCTGTATGATTATCTGTATTTGTTGGTTCTGTGTTTTTTTATTTGTTGCATATGTCGACATATTGTAGCTGGGTTGAGGCGGTCATGCATTGTATTGTAGGCCAAGACACCCGGGGACAACTAGGTAGGCTGTAGGCCCTGCGAGGCGGTCCAGTTAGGCCGGCAACCCGTGGAGCGATCCAGATAGGCTATAGGCCCTGAAAGCGGTCCAGTTAGGCTGGCTGCTCATCCTTGTATGCTTGAGTGTCATGTGGTGTGTTGGTACTTTAGGGGAACTCACTAAGGTTTGACTTACAGTTTTAGTTTAATGTTTCAGGTACTTCAGAGGATCATGGAAAAGCGAAGGGCTAATCATGCACATCTTCCTATTTTCACGTGATTGGTTTATTTGGGACACTCTGATAAGATGTTACTTTTGAAACAATGAGTATTTTTGTAAACAATCATGGTTTGTGGTTGATTGTAAACATTTTAAATTTCTTTGATTTTTGGAGTGTTACATTGCAACAACTCAAGAAGTTGATCGAATGAACTATCAGTCCATTTGTTGATCACCTTGATAGGCTTCAGTTTTGCTAAAAAGTCAAGGGACAAAAACGAACATCCAGGATATAATTTTAACTGTGCTTCCTCTAATAACTTTTGAAATCCATCATCGACACCACTACCCTCTTTATCCGGGTTCCCTTCATCGCGGTTGGTGTCGTTTTCAATCACACACCCAATAATATCAGCAATAACATCGGCCATCTCGTTGCTACGTGGTATGTCTTCTACAACCGGATGAAGTGTATTTTCGCTGTGATACTTCCATATAATATAATGTGGACTAAAATCATGTTGAAGCATATGAAATTTCATTATGTCTAATAGTATAAATTTATTGACATTACATTTGTTACATGGGCATCTGATTTGACCTTTGTTATAGACGTGTGGTTTAGAACTCTCGAGAAAAGATTAGATTCCTTGTTGGAACACGGTATAGTTACGGTTTTCAATATTAGTACAGGTTTTATCAGTAGACATGTTGCAACTGAAACATAAGTTAGGTTTTAGTGTTTACTCTACAAGAACTAAAAATAGGATTGAATATTTATAAGGATAGAGTAACTACTCAATCAGATAGAGTATTCATAAGGTTAGGCTTCTAAACTCACTTTTTGATTATTTTTGATTATTTTACCTCATATGTGAATGTGTATTATATGATTGGTCATTTAAGAAAAATTCGGCAGTATTTCCCCTTACCTCCTGAGTATATATAGAAATATATACCCAATGAGAAAAGATAAAATAACAACTGAATCTTTCTTAAACAATCAATCATGTAATACGTATTCACATACTAAATTAGATAAAGTATTCAAAAAGCAGTCCCAAAACGGGGACAACTTGAAATTAATTACTAAATAAATTTCAGACGTGTATTTATAGGCTTTTGATGATTTTAAAGGAAGATACTTAAACTAAAAAAATCCTACTCTTTTTATTATAGCATTGTACTTTAAATATTAAGTTATTAAATTATAACTTAAATAATTAAGTTATTAAATTATAATTAAAAGAACTAAAAAAAACTACTTTTCATTTTTTTTATTGTTTATTATAACATTGTACTTTAAACGATTGTAGTATATATATTTTTTATTTATATCATCTTATTTTTCCATATTTTTATTATTTATATCAATTTATTTTTGTTTTTATTTTTCTATTAAGACACTGTACCTTTTCATATTTATTTTTATTAATAGCATCTTTGGTATTTTGTTTTTTTTTATAATATAGTATTTTAAAAGACATTGCAAATTATAACATATTATGTAGTTTTGAAGAATAGCATAACTAAGTCATAACATACATTACATACAATATACACACATATTCTACATTTTACATAGATTTTTCACATTTATTTTTTCATATATATACACACAAATACATACACTTCCCATTCCAATACACGTACACATACATTTTCACATACATTTTTTTCATACATATACATACATTTCACATTCAAATACACATATACATACATTTCACATGCAGATACATGCATACATACATTTTCACATACATTTTTTCATACATATACATACATTTCATATACAAATACACATACACATACACATACATTTTTACAATCATATACACACATATACATACATATACACACATATATACACATACATTTCACATAAAAATACAAACAGTAACATATTCACATATACATTTAATAATACATACATGAAAAAGTAAAACAAAAAAAATCAAAACAAAAAAAAACAAATTGATACACTATCAAATCTACAGGGACACGTCCTAAAAGTTGATGTCTTTTGCTTAAGACACAAACAAGTCATAAATTTAAATGGGGGCATTTTATTATAAAAGAATAATATTGAACGTAAATTTATTGAAAAGAAAAGTTCATCTAAATAAGTTATAAAATTCAAATAATAAAAAATAATTTTAGTTTCTCAATGACTTTCTTAATCCAACAAAATAACCTTCAGCTTGATTGTTTGAATTATATTATGCCTAAATTATGTCTAAACTAATACTAAAAATCATTAATAAGCTCTAATAATTTTCTTTTACTAAATTATTCAAGCAAAACAAGCTCACAGAAATAAATCTAACTTTTTACTAACTTAATCAAATAAGCTTTTAATTAAATTATAAAAACAACATCAAGAACATTGTAAAAATTCCTAATAAAGTTCAATACTTTTCATAAACGAGTAAGCAACAAAAAGTTGTTCGATCAGTTTATACTATTGTTGAATCCTAGCAAAGAAGCAATCGAATGTTTGTTACTTATTACCAATTAATTAAAACGATTACGAATTTTAACAACAGATTAAACTACAACTAATTCAAGTGGCCAATAAAATTGAATTAAAAATCAAACACTTTATTAAGGGCATGTTTGGTATTGCTACTCAAACTCCTTATTGACTTTTTAAAACAATCACGAATTTCTGGCTTTTTGAAAAAATAATTTTTTTCACTAAAAGCTTTGTGTATACCAAACACCTTGTTAACTTATTGGCTTTTTGAAAAACCAATAAGTCAATAATAAGTCATTTTAAAAAGCACTCACACACACCCCCTAAATATAAAACAGATCAAACCAAATAGAAATCACAACCAAAAATCAAGCCTAATGATTACTTGCAAGAAAAGTCAAGTCAATTTCACTCTAAGAATTTTAGCCGGACATGGCTAAAAACAAATTAAAAGCAATAAATTAAAGTATAAAACTATAAATCTTATTGAAACGAATAACAATTGTTGTTCTATTTTTCATCGCATATAAATATTACGTTCTTGATGTCGAATACCCAAATACTAGAGATTATCGCACTCCATACAAAGATACAAACATTCATTATTATTATACACCTGATTTTCTACGTGGACAAACTACTATTGTGAAATATCATCGAACGAACTTTTCGAGTTTGGAAAGTCAAGTAGACATTATTGAGAGATATGCATGTTAATTACAAATACAAACAAGAAGTAAATATTGTGGTAACATCGATGCTAATCCATACTATATTAGAAACAATGGTAGATTTAATTAAACATTTAACAACAAACAACAAGAATCCTATAATCCCGATGATGTTGAGACGAGACAGAATGAAACAGAATGTGATACTAATAATGAAGCTCATGAAGATGATCCAAGTAGTATACATCGTACGAACCATGAGAATTCATATATCCAAGAGAAGCGAGATATTATTGTGGAAGATATAATAGAATTGTAGCGACAAATGTAAGTTAATCAAATGACTTCTTAAAAAAAGGTTTATCAAGTTACAACTTTTTGCTATCACATAAGATAATCCAAACACTGATTTAAAAGTTTTTTGTCACTACATAATTTTTATCGGAAAGTGTTTAGTGAGTCAAATAAACAATCATGAACACCCCTTAAAAACTATGTTTTGAGAGTTTTAAAAAATTATTTTTATAAGTGTTTGGATTCGCTTAAAACAATCATTACCAAAACACTTTTTTAGGGTTATTGGCTTTTTGAAAAACTAATAAGTTAATAAGCTATTTTAGAACTAAATCCAAAATACCCCTAATTAGATATTAATAAAAGTATTAAAAAATTAAACATTAATAAATAAATAATATACATTTTTCAATAACAATATTAATAATAATAATAACAATAACAATAACAATAATAAGAGAAAATATCAAATGAGGGTAAAATGGTCATTTTACATGTGTGATTTTGGACAATATCGGTAGAGAGGACCAAATCTAATATGAATTGGAACAAAAGAGATTAAAGATGGAACAAAATTTGTTTTTGGAGAATATAAAAAACAAATGCTATAGCACATAAATATATAATCAACTACTATTTAACTTAAAAATATGAAAATATGTGTAGGGTGACAAAATTTGTGCCATACATTATTACATACCAAAATAGGTTACTACCTTTTTCTAAGAGAGATCAAATTCAAACTTGAACCCTTCTAAAAGGTTCTTCTAAAGGTTCAACTCTATTGCTTTTGAAAAGTGGTCACTCACTTTTAAAGAATATTGAAATTCAAGGTTTCTACTATATTGCTTAAAGATTGCTTCACTCTTCATCTAAAGAAACTTATCCTAAAGTAAACTTTACTTTCTTTGCACTATCAACAAATATGATTGAGTATAAAGAGCATCCAAGTTAATCTAAATGAACTCCAGTTTTTTTTTATTTGAATATATGTGATTTCTGTTACCATGCTTATATCATATAAGCTCAGTTTCATAGATCTAGTTTATAATAACACTAGAAATGTAAGAAGATGCCAGAATACTTGTTTCATGATTGGAAATACATTATATTCCAAATCTACAAAAGAGTACATAAAAATGTTGAACTTTTAAGAGTAATGTGAAGGGTTTCAAGGTTTAAAGTATGCACCTGAAAATACTACAATAACACCTTCATCCTGTCCTTATGCTTCTCCAGAATCTCCATCACAGCTTCAGTATATGCAGCCTCTTCTTTATCTTCAGAACCACCATCTTCACTGCTCATAAGACTATCTTTTTCATCATGCAGACCATTCATTTCCATTACAACAAGAGTTACCCCCTTCATCACGTACCCTGAAACTGGCATGTCCAAAACAGGGATGTGACACTGACTCACGCTAGCAGGAACCTCTATACGATTCATCTCTGATTTAAGAGTTTCCATGGCTGATGATACCCATCCCTTCTTCACCTCAGCAAGTTTTTCCCCACTAAGAGAAAGCCTCCCTCTTCTCCCTGAATCAGTAATGGAAGCCTCTTCCAACATTGGTAGATCCTTAATGATGTACAACAACATCCTATGCCTCAGAATCACATCCTTCAGACATTGAAAAGCGATGTGAACTTTCTGCCTAAACAGATCATTACTCAAGTCCATGTCTTGTTCGTCGCCATTTCCGTTAACATGAAATTCATCTGAATCAGAAATTGAATTCGGCGAGAGAAAGAAAAATGATTCGATTCTGTTCCCGAACTTGACCTTCCATTTGAACAAACAACGATTATCAATACCTCTGTGACTGGAACAGGGAAGCTCTATATGTAAGGACTTAACTCCTTTAAACTTGCTCAAAAACGTAACGGCAGATCGAAAGGACTGGCCGTAAAATGAAGAAATGATAGGCGGAAGCGGCTTACTAGGGGCGACGATCATACGGCGGAGGAGGTAAAGGGGTTTGAATACAACACCATTAATCAAGAACCGGAACAGCTTTGTAGGAAATCCGTCGCCGTCGACATCACCGGAGGTGATTTTATCCGAAGTGGGAGAGTTCAAGAGAGGAGCAGTGAAGGAAACGGAATCGACTTGAAGTACAATCGAGGAGAAACGTCTGGAAACGAGAGAGCAAAAGCAAAGGGTTTTCAAATCGATTAATTTGTTTATAATTTGGAGGATGATTTCGTCTGGTAAACTACTCAATGGAGAATCATATGCATCTTCTTCAGGGGATTTCACGATGGTCTTCATTTTTCAGGCTAAAGATTGATGGCTTGATGCATCAAAACCCTAATCGTCCAACAACTTCAAAAGTCTTTCATGGTTGATAACTTGTTATAGAGTTTCGAGTAAAGTCCCGACGTTTACCCACAATAACACCTTTAGTCCAAATTTTCATTTGTTGGACTCTTGGTATCTATTTCCAAATTTTGTTTAATTTTTCATCCTTCATCGTGGATGTCGTTTTCTTTTTACCATCAAGACCAATGTTTTAAAAACCGGTTTGAACCGGCCGGTCGAACCGGTTTGACTGGAAACCGAAGATGGGAGTGGTTCAACTATCACCGATTTTATGTCTATTTCTGAACCGGAACGAACCGACCGGTTTTTACAAAAACCCGGTTGAACAGGTTAAATGAAACCGGTTGAACAGGTTAAATTGAATAAAAACACATAGAAAATAAACATTTTGCATAATAAACTTTTGTGGTCTTTTTCATATCTTTTTGATGTATGTAGATTGATATAAAACTTATGCTTATGTGTTATTTTAATGTATTTGGATTGATCTACAACTTGTTTTTATATGTATTTTTAATGTTTGAACATGTGGGTGTATGTGACATCCCCAATTTCACGGCCAGGAAAGACCGATTTGTTTATGCTTTATTTGAAAATCAGAGTATATTTTTAAAGAAATATGTTGCGGAATTTGTTCCCAAAAATATGATCAAGAATTTATCAAAGCATTTCCGAAGAAATGTATTTTCATTGTATTAAAAACCTCGGGATGTCATTGTGAGTACAGATCAAAAGCATAAACAGAAACAACATAGGCCTTACAACATCTATTTATTCTAGTGGCCTATAATCCATGGATCTCTCATTAGACCATCACTCTTGTGCTCTCTTGCCACTACCTGTATACAAGAAACTGAGTGGGTCAGACTTGAGATCCTGGTGAGCACATAGGGTTTTCAACCCACAATAAATAAGTTCATTAATTTCGTCAAATCATTCAATCCGATTACCCATTCCCGTTATCCTCACCATACGTCCCTAAAGCATCTATTATAAGGGACCTAGCCTAACATCGGGGTGACAACATTGCTTAGGGGATTCCTCAGCAATACATGTCAAATAAGGCAACCATGAGGGGGATGGAGTACACCTGGTGAACACGTAGTTCAAATAAACACCTACATGTTGCGAGCCTGCTAGCGTTCCACTGGACTATCTAGAATAGTCCATGCTCGTCATCTATACTCCGCTAGATGACTGGATCGTCGTAAACATTGAGGCCTCTCATCATTTTATTTCATCACGCATCAACTATTTCATCTACCCATGTTTTACCCAACATTTTTGTAGATATAAAATACATATACAGTTTAAATCATTTAAAACATGTATAAATCGTTCATCCAGTGTGACATCCCCAATTTCACGGCCAGAAAAGATCGATTTCGTTTATGCTTTTTAAAATAAAATCAGAGAAATCTTTTTAAAAGATGTTGCGGAATTGGTCCCCAAAACAAAACATGATAAAAGTTTATCAAAACCTTTCTTTAAGAAATATATATTTTTATTTCATAACAAAACCTCGGGATGTCATGTTCCGATACAGATCAAAAGCATAAACAAGACATTATAAGCCTTACACAGTTATTTACAACTACTGGCCTATAATCCACAAATCACTCATTGTCATCATCCGACTATGCTCGGGGTCCACTACCTGTAATATTGTTAGGCATGTCAGACCCAACAAATAATAGGGGTACGATATACTCCAAAAGAATCCCACTATATTGCACTAAAAGGTAGTACAAGGCAAGCAGGGTCGATCCACAGAGACACATGATAATTAGTCTATACCTCTTTGCGCAAGGTACTATGGTCACCAACAGTAAAGATGGGGGGTTTGAGTGTAATGATGTGGCAAACCAATTTAAAACGCGAGTAAACAACTAAACCAATGAATTAAGTTCAGATTTTGTAAGGACTCCAACTCCATGTATGACAATCTAGCAATGTGAATCAAAGATGGCAAGACATTTGTTTCATTCTATCTAAGTTGGTACTTGAAAGTGTTAACAAGCTCTAACACTTTCCATTCACCACATTAATCAATCAAAACAAGCTCTTTGATTAATCCTAACCTTACTAACCTAATCTAAACAAGCTCTTAGAAGTAGATTAAAAGATTGCATTAAGCTTATTGTGAATGTTCCCAACAACACCCAATACTCCTCACAAGCTCGGGAGCGTAAGAATGTGTGAAAAGATTTACACTAAATTCATTCATAAGAAATCAATTTAATGATTGTTACTTAGTTCAATTCACAAAACAATTACGGATTTTGCAAAATGAATAACTTGAATGACCTAACCCTAATTCAAATGGCCAATAAGAATCATTATTAGAATCAAACATTCGATTGAAGTAAAATCAGTTTCACTAGATAGAAATTAAACACAAACATCAGGTCATATGATTTGATTCACAACCAAAAAGTCAAAACATGAAATTGGAGAAACTAGGGTTCTAGCCACACATGGCTAGAACAAGATCACAAGTCTAAAAGATGAAATTAAGTGTAATTACAACTTACAAAAACGAGAATTAATGTTTCCAAATGATTAATGGACAAACCCTTGCAAAAACCTTCGAAATCCCCTCTCAAAATATGCTCTGATATGTTGTGTGTGTGTGTGTGTAAAAAATGGCCCTCAACCCGTAATATGAAAGATAGGAAAAACTGCCAAAAGTTGGTTTTTGGGTCGAACACGGCCCATGTTAAAATAGGCTAAACTGACACGGGTCGTGTTTAGCAGCCAACACGCCCCGTGTTGATTTGCACTAAACTGACATGCCCCGTGTTCAGCATGGTCAACAGCTCCCATTTTGGTTAAACACGCCCCGTGCCCACTTTTCAGTGTAAATTCAACACGCCCCGTGTACCTCTCTGACTCCAATTCCAAACTTGATTTTTCCAACTTTTTCGTTCTTCGCCCGATCATCCCGAAATCTTCACCAATGCTTCCCGACACTTCCCAAAGCGCGTTCCAACCTCCGGTTTACCTGAAAAAGACATGAAAGTGTGCAAATAAGGTTGTTCTAGAGACTAACATGAATATGATGAAATGCAAGAAAAAGGAAGAACAATTGTGCTAAATAGATGCATGAAATGGGACTAAAAGGTGTGCAAAAAGGTGCACAAATAGCACCTAACAAATATAAAAAGCTGAGTGGGTCAGGCTTGGAAGCCTGGTGAGCATATAAGGTTTTCAACCCACAATAAATAATAAACTCTTTAAGTTTATCAATCAACAAATAATTTATTAATTTCATCAACCAAAAACAACCCTAATTACCCATTCCCGTTATCCTCACCTTACGTCCCTAAAACAACTATCACAAGGGACCTAGCCTAAGGATTTTCATTAGGGGTGACAACATTGTTTCGGAGGTTCCTCAGCAATTTATGTCAAATAAGGCAACCATCGGGGTGACAACTTTGCTTTCCTCAGCAAATTATGTCAATCAAGACAACTTTGCTTTCCTCAGCAAATTATGTCAATCAAGACAACATTGCTTTCCCTCAGCAATTTATGTCAAATAAAACAAACACCAGGGTGACAACATTGCTTTCCCTCAGTAATTTATGTCAAATAAAACGATCGCCGGGGTGACAACATTGCTTACCTTCAGCAATTTATGTCAAATAAAACAAACACCTGGGTGACAACATTGCTTTCCCTCAACAATTTATGTCAAATAAAACAAACACCGAGGTGACAACATGGCTTTTCCCTTAGCAATTTATGTCAAATAGGCACGAAGTCACATCGTCGCCAAGGTTTATACAACAGGCACTACGTCACATAGTCGCCAGGGTTTATACAACAGGCACTACGTCACATAGTCGCCAGGGTTTATACAATAGGCACTACGTCTCATAGTCGCCAGGGTTTATACAATAGGCACTACGTCTCATAGTCGCCAGGGTTTATCTAATAGGCACGAAGTCACATCGTCGCCAGGGTTTATACAATAGGCACTACGTCTCATAGTCGCCAGGGTTTATACAATAGGCACTACGTCTCATAGTCGCCAGGGTTTATCTAATAGGCACGAAGTCACATCGTCGCCAGAGTTTATACAATAGGCACTAAGTCCATAGCTGCCAACGTACTAAATACATAGCTACCAACGTACATCTATACTGTACTAAATTCATAGGCATGAAGTCACATCGTCGCCAAGGCTTATCTAATAGGCATTAAGTCCATAGCTGCCAACGTACTAAATACATAGCTACCAATGTACATCTATATTGTACTAAATTCATAGCTACCAACGTACATCTATACTGTACTTTTATCCCTCATTCTTTATCTACCCATGTTTTACCCAACATATTTGAAGATAAAATATTTATACATTTTAAATCATTTTAAACATGTATAAAACATTCATTCAACATCTATCTCAAATAAACAAACAACATATACACACATAGCATGTATTTTATATAAAATACTTAATATCTATGTGTAAGATGAAAGTGACTACACACTCACCTGATTTAATGAAAATCGGGCAGCAATTCGTTTCCTAAAACGATCGTTTCTAATAAAACCGGGAGTTTTATTGAGAAACCGGGCTCTGCGAAGGGTCGGGCTTCGAAACCGAAAAGATAAATTTTCCGGGTCTTCGGGCACTTCGGGGCGTGTTCCGGGTGTTGGAAATGATCTCGGGGCTTCGGGGGAGGTCAAAATAGTGAAAATATGAGTTTAGGGGTGAAAAATGCTAAGTTTCTAATTCTAGCCGGGAGATCTCGCAACCCCCCCTTTTATAGGGTGCGAGACCGAAGATCAATGGCTGAGGAAGCTCCACGCGGCAGCAGATGTGAGCCTCGGATCCGGAGGGAAGGCTGCTGGTTGCGAGGTTCGGAACATGTGGCAGAAGGGGCGAGGCTCGGATGCGAGATGGGTGCGTGCCGGCCTCGGATTGGTCCAACACA